ATATATATATATAAATAAAATTAATTTGTAGTTTGAACATATTTGTGTCTTGAACGTTTACAGATTTACATACCCGATCAAAGAAAGCATTCAACTTCTCAATGTCTTCTCTGGTGAAATCGCAATCCGAGGGAAGCAAATCATCACTGCAGTAGGCCAACAGAAGTGTGCTCTCCCAAACCAAAGACGTATACAAATCAGCGAGGCCCTTTAGCACTTTAAGTCCTTGCTCGGAACCCCAATGCTGAACAGACAGGCTCCTGATTTCTGTTTGGCCAGTTCGGCAAATGTGAACGAACATGATAACATAACCGTGAGCAGCCCCCATGGCGTGAAGAAGAGGTGTAGCAGATGCAGTACTGAATGCGCTTTCTATATCTGAGGCATTTGCCAGTTCCATCAGCAACTTTGATCCTCCAGGTACTTCCTGTTTGGCATACAGAGGCTTCAGCGAGTCCAAAACGTCCTCCAGCTGTGAGAGGCCTTGACTGAATAAGAATGGTTCGTGGGCTAGATTTAAGATGCTCTTGCAAACGGTAGCAACAGCTTGGGCGGGATTGGTCACCGGGCAGTCCACAGGCAGATTGGGAAGGCTAAGAATCTTCAATAAGGGCACCACTCCTCCTTTCTCGACGAACTCTCTGCAGTGATCGTCGGTAGAGTTATTACTGAGAATAGCATCAATGAACTTCATAGCATTGAGTATGTAATCGATCAGAGCTACCGGAGTTCGTTCACTGTTAGCTTGAACTTGGCTTTCGGTTTGCCCGTTTTGGGAAGAAGTAGATGTCTCGTCTTCATCTTCTTCCTCCTCGTCAGAGGAGCCTTCGGCATTGGTTGCGGATCTGGAATTAGTTGAAGGAGATATTTCGGATTTGCTGTGCGGTCTCCAGCACACATATTTCGGGTCAGTTCCTAGTCGAACCAGCTCTTCAAGAAGTTTGATGATGGCGAGAGTAGCGTCTTGCCTGAGGCTAGGCTGATGACGCATCAGTTCGTCCATAGCGTTACCCAGGTTGCAGGCCGTGTCTGCTTGGGGCTCGGAGCTGCGTCTCCTTCTCATTGCCGGTAAATAGTTGGGTGACAGTAATATATTGAACAATTTTTCGAATGGTTTGCACTTGGCGAATGATTCCAGGCCACGGTTGTTTAGGCATAGGGCGCTGAACACGTTGGGGAGGGAGCCAAGAACCTCTCTAGTGGCAGGCACTTCTTTAACCAATAAAGAATGTAAGACCACATTGGTTAAGCCATTGTCTTGGAGAGCGGATAACAACGCCGGTTCTTGATAGACGTATACTGTAACAACGTCTGTGGCTAGCAAGAATAGGGACGGACCGTAGTACTCGGCGTTGGCGATAATGTTCTTTAGAGAATTAGGTAATGTGCCTTCCATGAGGTGACGGATACTTTCTGCGAAAGTAGAATCTTGAAATGCTTTCTTGAGGAAATTCAACATCGATTTCAGAAGAGCAGCTCGTTGTGGAAGGCAAGTCTTTCCTGCGTTTTCCGACATGTATTCAAGATCAACGGAAGCAATTTCATCTCCTGTTTCATTAGTCGAAGGTCCAGCGACGTTTTCGTCAAACTGTTGGTCTGGGACGCTCACTTTTATTTGATAAAGCTGCTCTTTTTTACAGAAATTCACTTCGGACTGAAAATAAATGCATGCATGAGACCTTATTACGAAATCAGGCAACAATACTTACATCCAATGACTGAAAATCACAACAAAGAAAAAAACTGGATAATGAAGACGAACTGGATGAAAATTCAGGTAGACAATGTTCCCTCAACGGTATAATGGTAGCTGTAAATGAAATGAAGAATAAATTGTTTGAAATGGATAAAAACTACTCTTGATTTAATGACCAAATACAAGGAACAAATCGATGTCAATAAAGGATTACAAAACGAAATAAGAGACCTGAAAAAACAACTAAACCACGAAATTGATGTCAGGGAACAGAAGGAACTTAATAACAACATAATTATTGAGGAAGTTCCGGAATCAGAAAGTGTCTTGGAAAAGTATCCAAATATCCAGCACCTATAAAGGTCTGTTTTGAAAATCAACAAAGTATGGAGAAATTTTGGCAAGTTACCAGAAAAACGAGAATTATTATCAAAGATCTCGGTTTCGATAACCCTTCGATTGAACCTATATACGTTGACCATGACCTTACAATGAGAAAACATGAGCTATATAAAAAGGCCAGGAATTTCAGAAAGGAACACAATTTCAGGTTTATCTGGGTCAAGGATGGAAACATTTTCCTGAAGAAGGACGAAGGTAGCAAAGTTAACCTGATTAATAACGAAGATGACCTAAAATACTAGTTCTTAGACTGACAAACTTCGCATTTGCTATGCTAATATGCAAAGTTTGCGTAAGTTGGACGAACTGCATTGTTTTATAAAAACAAATGGCTGTGATATCTTGGTATTGACGGAAACGTGCCAGTTCGACAATGAAGTTCATTTTTTTTATTTAGATGGATTTGTGGCTGTTCATTCCTGCAGAGAAGGAAGAACTGGAGGTGTTTCGGTATATATTCGTGAACATATTGATTTCAGTGTGATAGAAAAAGTTGATGATTCTGATCAATATAATTTAATGGCAATTTCGTTAAAATCTTTAAATCTGCAAATATATGGTATGTATAGACCACCTAAATATCAGTTTAGGGAATTTATCGATATATTTCAGAATATATCATGTAACAAAAAGAATAAAACTATTGTACTGGGAGCTATGAATGTCAATCTCTTGAATGCAGATTCAGAGGAAACAAAAGAAAACATTGATGTGGTAACTATGAGTGGTTTTAGAGTATGTAACATAGTTGACCAGAATAATGCGACTAGACAAACAAGCAAAACGAATTCTCTACTGGATCATGTCCTGGTTAATAAAAATATTAAGTGTGATGTCTCAATATACAACTATGCTCTGTCTGATCATAAGCCATTAAATATCAATGTAGATATTGAGCCTGTATACAATAAACCAAAGATACTAACAACTTTAGTGTAGTTAAGCAAGATTTATTGAAAAAAAATTTAGGGACGCTTCACAAAATTGTCAATTCATTGACACAATGGATACGCTAACAAAGGTAATAAATGCATGTAAAGAAGGTTCTAGTTATAAGATAAAATTAAAACATCGCAAAGGGAATGACTGGATGACCTATTCAAAGCAGAATGGCAAAAAGCAGGTAACAATGCAAAAAAACAATGAAGAGTAATAAACTGGATAATAAATATAAAGAAGGAAAAAAAAAGAGTCGATTAAATTAATTACAGATGACAGAACTATCACTCACCCTCAAAAGGCGGTAAATATGTTCAACAGGTATTTTACTAGCATAGGTCAATCAATCATTTCCAATATAGATAATAATATAGAAAGTAGATTTTGAGCAACTATTGTGTGGCAACTCATGCTAAAGAGGTATCTGAAGTCATAGTTGCACTCAAATAAAAACTCTGCAACAGAGCACGACAGCGTATACGTTATAATACGACATAATATTAATTGAAAAAAATGTCATTTCCATTCTCGTTAATTTGATAAACGATATTTTCAAAGCAGGGGTATTTCCTGAGATACTGAAGACTGGAAAAGTAATACCAATATTTAAGGGTGGTGATAACAAAAAATTATAGACCTATAACAATTGTGTTCTAATTCTCTAAAATTATTGACACTATAATAAAGACAAGAATAATGGACTTTGTTGATCGTTATGTGGGATTTGATGAGTATCAGTATGGTTTTGTCCAGGGTAGCAGCACTCTAAGCGCCTCGCCACAATAGATTTCATTCATAATATTACATCGGAATTGGATAAAAAACGAATGGTTATTGCAGTGTTCATTGATTTAAGAAAGGCATTTGACGTTGTTGACCATACTGTTCTTCTGAACAAACTATGTTGCATGGGTATAAGGGAAAAAACTTATTCTCTCATTGAGACATTTTTGAAGGAAAGATCCCAGTTTGTCACTGTTGGTGACAGCATGAGTGAGAATATAAAAAATAATTGTGGCTTACCACAGGGATCCGTTTTGGGACCCCTGTTCTATACACTGGTGGTACTGTCACTGAGGCAGGCTGGGCTTAAGGGAAGGTATTTCACGTTCGCCGATGACACGGTCCTTTTGTACAGTGGATATCATTTACATTTACTCGAGAACACAGTTAATGAAGATCTCTCTAAATACTTAAATTGGCTTGCACACAATAAACTTAAGGTGAACTATGCAAAAACCGTTTACATATGCTATTTAAACAATAAAATAGAATTTGTGGACTCATAACAGATGATAAGTTAAACTGGTCAGGACACATAGAACATTATTACTGATGAAATTGTAACAATGTAAGGCGCTCTATATAGGTGTTCCAGTTACTTTAGTTTCAGTAATAGATACTTGGTTTACAATGCATATATTGGCGAATCTTAGGTATCTGTTAATCATATGGGGTAATTGTGGCATTACTAATTTCAAAAAAATTCAAACGCTACAAAATAAATGAATACAAATTTTATTTCAAATTCCATTTCGAACCCAGACAAATGATTTATTGTCACAGAGTGAACTACACCTAATTAAATATCTACTTAAACTTGAGCAATGCAAGAACACATATAAAATAAAAAACAAAAGAATCAAAAACAACAACGATCTACTAGTTCAACAACCAGTTTAATGGGTATAATACAAGGGGTAGAAATGACTTACACCTGAGCATGGTAAGAACAAAAAAAGGATTATACAATCCTTTTACACAGGCTATAAAAGTGTTATATGAATTACCTCTCCATATACTGAGTTGCCGGGCTATAGTTCATTCATCAATAGTTTAAAAGAACATCTGAGCCTCGAGGCACATGTCTGATGCGTTACTACTGTGAGCTTTGTAGTGGTTTTCTAGTTTTTGTGTTTCACTTGTCAGGTTGAATGATTGTGAATCCTGAGATCAGCATCTTTGCTGATTAGGGAGAATAACAACATATTTTATATTTATAGTCTCTTAACTATGATGAACTGTATGCTGTTATATTTTTAATAAAAAAAATAAAATTGGAATAACGTAATCGAGAAGCATGGAGAGTCAAAAGCTGTTGCGCTTGATATTTCTAAGGCCTTTGACCGTGTGTGGCACGAGGGTTTGTTGGCCAAACTTCGATGCTATGGCTTGTCAAATCATTTTTGTGTATGGCTCCTCAGCTTCCTGAAAGAACGTTCCCTTTCACCATAAACGCTGGTGTACAATATCTTAATGAGAATCTAGAAGTAATTTCGAATTGGGGTGAAAGTAACCAGGTTCAATTCAACGCCACAAAAACCCAAGCATCAGTTTTCTCCAAAAAGATAAATGTTTCGGAACCAGATATAATAATGTCAGGTCAGCAGCAAAGGCTGCTTCTCAAAAACTTGGAACATTGTTCCGAACCAGAAAACAATACACACCTCAGCAACTTTTGATGCTTTATAAAGCTCAGATCAGACCTTCTCTGGAGTATTGTTCTCATGTATGGAGCTTCGCCCCCAAACATACCCTGAAGCTGCTGGATGTCATCCAGAAAAGAGCCACCCGCCTGATTCGAGACACAAACATCACTTGTAACCTTGATAGTCTGGAACATCAAAGAAAGGTTGGAGATTTGTCACTCTTCTATAGATACTTTCACGAGAAGTGTTCACGTGACCTGGCACATTTTATTTCACCAAGAGCGGTACATATCAGAAATACGCGACGGACTGTGGCTGCTCATCGTTTCGAGGTTCAACTCAGTATACCTCGAACTTCACTGTTTAAGAACTCTTTCATTTGGAGAACGGCGTTTATATGGAATCAACTTCCTGAGAATGTTTTTCCAAATTGTATTGATCTCCAGCGATTCAAATCCAATTTGAATCACTACTTTCGCACAGGCACTGCTCTAAGAGCGTCTTAAGGATTTTCCTGTAGTGCTTGTTTCGGCCTTAAAAAAAACGGCTTTTTGATGTTTTTCTATACCTCAAAGACCAAACGCTTATGGTCATAGATATATAAACAAGACAGATAAGACTATTTACATAAAGATACGTGCTATGAATACTTCACAGTCTAACCGCCAAGAAGCTAGTTGTTCTACCAATCGATTAATATCAATATAAATAACTTCATTGACTTCAAGTAGACGGCATAAAAAAATTAAACAATAAATTAAAATATGAAAAAGGAGTAACTTGAAGCCAGTTACCAAATATAGAGTATAGTAAAACTTATAACTTTTTGTAAAAAAATATTAACCAGTGCAATTTCTTGTATTTAGGAAATCAACAACTAGCGGGTCAGACTCTAACAGTCAACTATCAACTACTAGTATATTACAAGATCTCAGCCCTCTTAGTACAAGGTGAGCAAAGTTTACCTACGTATTTGCATACAATGAGATTGAAGTAACTTAAGTTGAAAATAAAACGTCTCCATGAAACAGTGAGAAAACTTCGTTTAAAGGTTACTTCAATGCAGAGCTTGATCGGAGTACTCAAGGAGAAGAACCTTTTATCAGAAGTCTCTGAAAATTCTATTAAGGTACCTGAATAATTATTTTATTTAGTCAACAGTAAAACAATTAGAAATTTGTTTTAGGCT